AGGCAAACATAGCTTGAAAGACTCTGACTTTTTTATAGATAGTTTCCTATTGCACAAGTTTCTTTGCATGGTTTCTTTAGATACATTAAATTAAATATGAAACAACAATCACTCCAGTGATTGAAAGGGAGCAATGTGTACTCTAGGTCTGATCCAGTGTTCATAGAAGAAGCTGGAAAATACCTATTGTGAATTATATGCAGCGTGCCTAAGAGAGTTTTCTTCTCTTTGTCCCTGTTTGCATTGCGACCAAAGTATTCTTCTTTTTGTGAAAATCTGTTTCTAATGCAGTTTTAAAGCAGGCGTAAGTTTGGCATCAGTCTGCTGTAACAGCAGACTATTCTGCTCTGTTCAGATAGACAGTAGTCTATTGTAACAGTATTGCTACTCTGGCTTTTTTTTTTTTTTGGGGTTAATATCTCTCTCATTCATAGAGTGCGGAATTAGTGGGCACAGCCTTTTGAATATGTTTTTCTCCAAGATATTCTTTTCAGAACTGTCACCTTCCCAAGAATCTTCAGGCATATGTTAATCATCTCTTTAGTGAGACCTAGAATATCTTGTTGCTAAGCATCTCTATTTTGCTCTTATCAGCAGAACAGAAAACATTTCTTACGGATGTTAGCTAAACTCACTCGTTCATAGTTGGACACTTCTAAGGAGCTGAAGAGCTGGAGAAGTTTTTTTTTTTTTTTTTTTTTTAAGATTTGGCCTTATTGAGTGACCAGAGTAAAAGCTGGGAAATACAAAGACACTTAAATCTGGAGTGAACTGTGAAGTTCATGGTTCACATGGTTGTCCCCCCTCCCCAAATAGTTCTCCATGGATAGGCTGAAGAGGATCAGTCTTTGTGGCCCTAATTTATTAAATTCTCTACTGTGGCCAAGGACAAAGTTAGTGGAGCAACAGCGCTGACACCAAGGTGGTATATTTTACACACATTCAGATGGAAAGGAAATAGAACTGACCTCTCCCACTGTGTATTTTATGTTCCTCGCAGATCCTAAATTAGAAAAAGAGTTTCTTAGTTCTTTGCTTTTTAACTGACTTTTTTCAGCAGAGGATGCTGCCTGAAAGCACAGAAGGCCTTCTTGCTATCTGTTAATATTCTGTGCTGATATGAAATGAGTGTCTGTTGATGTACACATCTCAGGTGCTAATTTGTTTTCTTGTTTTCATTATTTTGTTGTTTATGTGTCTGTTTTTGTTCTGTCAGGGTGAGCAAGGAGATCTGGGGGAACCAGGCTACCCAGGAGACTCTGGTTTGCCAGGCCCACAGGTAGTTAAAAGAAATCCTGAGTTGTTTTTGTATGTTAGCTATGAGGAAAATAAATTGGCAGTCTTAATCTTTTGTTTTTCTTTCTACTTCAACTAAAAATATTACGAGGAACTTTCTTCACTGGAAAATTTTCTTTGTGACCCTGGTGAATTAAACATGCCAAGTTTCTCCTTCAGTTTATGTAGGTGCTTATACTTATACTTTCAGCTTATACTGAAATTGAAAGAGGACTGAAAATATAAGTAAAATTAATTTCGTCAACACTTCTGTAGTTTACAGGATATTTTCAAGCAGATATCTTAAATGAATTTTTTTTTAGAAATAATGAGCAATTAGCATATAGCATAGAATGTGTTGCATGACTGAATCCACTGTATTTCCAGGATACATTGAAATGGTGAAAAGGACATTCTGATTGACAAATGAAAAAAACTTTGCATTTAAAAATTTAATTGATGAAGTAATTTTGAAGAGTGATATGACTGTAAGCTCTTTAGCATAGCTTTCTGTCTTAAGATGCTCCATCCACTGATTGCACAGGCGCCTGGAGCAAGTCTTCTTGGTGGTTTCTTGACTGTGGATTGGTTATGTCACCCTTGATATCTTGGGTGGCTAAGTGGCTCCCTGAACATGGCTACCGTGCAGTGACAATATCAGCTGCTTCACATGAACATGTCCCTACAGCTAAGCAGCCATATCCTCTGCAGAGGATCTTGCAAAATAGGGATTTGCATCCTAGTCACTGCAGCAATCTAATCTGCAATCAACATTTGACTAACTGTTTTTTTAATGACTCTTTTACTTCAGGGCCCAAGAGGAACACCAGGAGTCAGAGGACCTCCAGGACCAAAAGGCATGCCGGGCCCTCTGGTTGGTTTTAAATAACATATCCTTGCTGTGCACCTTAGTGGTTTTCATTTCTCAGTGTTTGTATTATTCTTCTGATTAGTTGGGTTTTAAAACCTATATAAACAAGGAGAAAAGGATATTTTTTCAATATAACATTTATGGAAACTAATGGGCATATGAAGAAGTTATTTACTCCCGATCTGGATTATGGAAAATAACAGCCTTGAAAATAAATTTTGTTCATGTGCTGTATGTCTACACTGATATGATAGTAATTCCAAGTGGCAATGAACCCTTGAGCTGAGTGCAATAAACCCTTGGGTTTTTCATCATGTATCATCACTGTATTGATATTTTTGATTGCAGGCTGATCCGGGACCCCCAGGTCTTTTTGGCTCTGATGGGAGGCAAGGTGCCAGAGGAAAAAAGGTAAACCTTTTTAAAGTACCTGATTGCAGGAATCCTACAGCATCATTCATTCAAAAATCTGAAGCTTGGTGCTGTTTAGGTTTGGGGTTCTTGTTAGAAGAAAAAATTCATGAAGAAAGTGAAAAGCAAAAATAAAGAACCCAAGAGAAGAAAACTTGGGAAGGAATAAGGAGCGCAAACTGCCTGAGAAATGTACTCTGCTCTTAACAGATTCTTAAGGCTGCTAGAATTCCAATATGAGTCCCACTTCCATTAATATAACTTTTCTCAGAAAATGCACTCGTGGTGAATTCCTAGTAACACTGGGAGTTTTGTTGAGGGATTTAGTTGGCTCTGGGCCTGTGGGATTTAGCTGCACAAGTGCTCAACATATTCTGATTTGACCAGTGTTTTTCAATGTCACTTTTAAGAACTGTCCCCCAAACATGGTCTGTCACAGAACACTTTTTGTTTATAAAATGTGTGAGCACCCTTCAGCTGAACAGATAAATGCCCAAATGCTGCTGCCTAAGACAAACTAATGGTTTTGCTGTTTCAACTGTGACAGGGTGAGCCTGGTGACCCTGGAGAGAAGGGTGTAGTGGGACCAGCTGGACAGAGGGGCATGCCTGTGAGTCCTTTTATCTTCATTCAGAACTACTGTGATTTAACTTTCATCCAGCTGAGTTGATACAATCCATTCCCTCTTCTTTTGTTTTCTCTTTTTGGTATGCTTGAAATGATTTTGCATTTGGTTCTCAGTTTCCTTATGAATATGACATTCCCTACGGGCTAGAGAGAATATCTTTCCACTCAGATTCCCTGTGACAGAGAATATTTGAGTGATGGAATATTCCCACAGTGCAGAGGAAGCATGGTCTTAATCCATGTTTTCTTTCCACAACTTTTGTCACCATTTGCCACTGGATTTAGAATGTGTTGTGACAGTTTGTCCTACCCAGTCAGCCTCAAGAGGCTGGGCATAAGCATTGTAATGAGAGATTTTTAGGCTGTGAGGGAATTGTATGTACATCTAAGCTTTTATTGAAGTCTAATTGATGGTATATTTACCCTGTGCAGGGCATGGATGGCAGAGATGCCTATGGTCCTGAAGGAAACAAAGGAGCAAAGGTGAGTGCACAGCCAGAACATCTCAGTCTCTGTTCTGCAAGGTCATTTCTAACATGACCATCCATATTCATATCTGTAATGAATATGGATCTTCATATTTATATGTACCCCCATTCTTAAATATATCTCTGATTTGAATGACTCAATGACCCTCAGTAGGGTGATGGTTGATCATCTGTTTGTTTAAAACTTCATTTAATCTTCATTGCTATTAAGTTTGGAAAAGAAATGTAGACTGTGAGCAATATTTTCTGGATTCCCACTGTGAAAAAAAAAATATTTCTGGATTTGTTACACTAGATTGGATTGAGAAATAGTAAAATCTTTAAAAGAATGCTTAACATTTCTTACTAGAAATAACTGAGTTAAATAATTTCTTTTTTTCTTTTTTTTTTTAATAGGCCTTCTGTTTTTAAGCTGAGCTCTTATTAGATTGCTCTACTTGAAGTGGACTCCTGGAAATTAGGAGTGCATTTTTATTAGCAGATAAATACTTTCTATTCTGATCCTTGCTTACTTCCCTGCATTAGGAAGTATCAGGGCACTCTGAGAGCCAACTACTCCCTAAGGAAGCCAGGAGCCCAACATGGTAACAAGGCTGGCAGAGGCAGCCCTTGCTGAGTTCTTAATGCTGTGTTGTAGTTATACACTGAACCTGAACTCTACTGTATTTTACTAGGAGGTGTAAATAAGGAGGTTTACTAGGAGGTATTTGATAAAACACTTATTTGAAAAATGGCATCTGTAAAAATTCTTATAATTCTTTTCTTATAATACTCTTGCTTTAAATAAGCAGATTAAAATGGTGTCATCTGATGATAACATAGGCTTTAGAAGTAGCCACTGTAATTTGAATGCACTGGAATGTTAAGATTAATTCCATAATTATTTTTGGATTAAAGAGAGTGTACGCTAAGAAGATCACAAAGTCCTAGATTCTTATGAAATCTTTTCATATTTTTTGGCAGGGAGAATCTGGATTCATTGGATACCCTGGTCCACAGGTACAAGAATGGGCCTGTGATTGCTTTTTTTGGATGTTGTCTTACACTATTTTTGAGGGTTTTTTTTTTTTTGGTCACCTTTTCTATAAACTTCTCTATTAATTTTCAGGGAGAACAGGGGGATCCAGGTGTCCCAGGAACTAAAGGATCAAAAGGAGTTAGAGGTAGAAGGGTAAGAATAATAAACCTGTAGAGTCTCTGAAGAGTTCTGTAAGTAAAGTCCTGAGATCCTGTGTGTTTCCTGGTCAGCAAATCTCTGAAACTGGTTCCAGCTCTGACCTTTCTTGTCATATCATGGGCAGCACATGTTTTCGGTGCTGAAAATATGCCCCTGTAGAGCAATTATAGAGAAAATGGTTATTTTTATTTTTAGGGTAATGCTGGCACACCAGGTGCCGTCGGAGATCCAGGAGACCAAGGGCCACCAGGACCTATGGTAACGTGTTTGTATTTTTAGAAGATTGGAATATTAAATTTACTCTTAGGTTAATGGCATATTTGTAATGCTTTATCTGTGTTTTGTTTCTCTTACAAAGATCAGACAATGCTTTATTTTGAAAAAGGATGTTTGCAGTACTGACATTCACATGCAGCACCTGAAGAGAAGGCTGCAGAGTAGCCAAAGCCAGCTAGGTCTGCTGAGCAGTTGTGGTGGGCATGTGGATTACAGGATTACCTGAGGCTGAGGAGCTGTGGGCAAGAAGGGTTTCAGGGGCTGAAAGGAACATAAAGTGCAGTTAACTGAACCACTGCTTTTTATACTAGCAGAACTTGCTCACTTGAAGGAATATCCAATTCCTACTGATCCTCAAGAGCAGCAAATACAGAACATTCATAAAAACAGGAAGGAAGCCCTGCTGATAAGTAGTCTGCACCTGTATCAGGAACAGGTCTGCCAAAATCCATGCTGGGCCCCACATTTCATGTTCAGAAATGGTTATCAGGGAAACATTGTATGCCTGTATTTCCTTTGGACTTTGGAGCTGTGATAGGAATACATTATTATAGGGTGATTTTCTGGGCATGTTTTAATTTTTTTCAGGGTGCCAGAGGACCAAAAGGCACCATTGGAATGGAAGTAAGTAATTACCTTGGAGCTAACTGCACACTGCATGGAATTAACAGTCTTAGTTTTCTTCCTTTTGAAGCATAGACTGCAGTGAGCACCATTAACAGTTAGAAAATAACATCTTTTTCAAACATGTGTCAGTGTAGAGTAGGTCCTTCTGCTTACAAATAGTCAAGGAATGAAAAATAATTGTGAATGTGGATTTGCTCCATGTCCAAACTTTGACAAACTGTTTGATTGTAAGCATTGTGTCTGTTATTTCTTTCAGATTAGTTTACCTACCAGCTCAGGCTTAGGCTCACATTTTACAGTCAATACTAAGCCTTTCTTATGCAGCCTTTCCTCAGCCATAGCTGTTTTCACTGGCAGTAGCAGGTCAAAATTTCTCCAGAATCCTAATCCCCATATAGGGTGAAGATGCCTGAGCAAAGGCTCCATCTAATCTTTACCTGGACAGCTGCCTGCAGGCAATTCCACTGTAATTATGTTCTCAGTCAGAGTGAGTTGCTTTAGAGCTTCTGTCCACAGTCTTATGGAGGTGCCATTGCCCTGTGACTTCCTTGTGACCTTCTAGATCAGATTATCGAACAAAACAAAAAAATGGAAAAATGACTGTTTCATTCTCTAGGATGTTGTTAAGTGTCCACAGAGCATCTCTGAAAAACCCTCAGTTTCCATAGTAGAACAGGCTGAAGTCCACTGTACTATTTGAAATAGAGAGGAACTGGGACGTATGTTGGGGCACAAGGATTTGCTCTTCAGCTCAAACCAACAGTAAGAGTCCCAACCTGGGCTTGACTGGGATTATCCACTAATTGCTTTTTGGTTTTACTCCTGCAGCCTTGTGAACTTGTGAATTTTACACGAGCAAATTGCCGTAAGTAGGGAGCATCATCTTCTCTCTCTGAATCCATTTAGTCATGGATGGAGTAGCCTCCACTGGAAACCCCTTAGGCTTGTAGGCTGATTCTGGCTCAG